AGCATGTTAATCGTTTGCATCATGCAGGCACTCCCACCTTTTATATTATATGATTCATAACTGCTATCTTTTTATTAGCAAATTTTAATTTCTGGGTCTTACCAATATGTATTTTTTTTTTTCTTTTTTTGCAGATTGTCTCCTAACCCTCTAATTTTAATTGGACACTTCTTTGCTGTTGCGGTCTATGCCATGTATTTTTGTTTTAAATCAGAACCTTGGATATCAAAACCTCGAGCCTTTTACAATAGTGGTGCTATTTTGTACAAAGCCTTTTCTGTAATAGTTCCTCTTATTTACTCAGAAATGAAGTACTTGGTTCAGTAAGCTTAAAGGAGGCCATTTGTGAATGAATATTTGGAACTCACCAAGTCCTAAGTGACTTTTGGAAGTGGATGTATATAGCATATACTATATTACTTCTAAAGTATAAACTCTTGGATCAAGATTAGGATTAATTTGTTTTTGAAGTTGTTTGTATACAAACATGTAAATATATCCTTTAATTTGCAACTTAAAATGAAGGGTAAAACAAGTTAGATATTTAAAAGAAATGACTTTTACCATAAATTAGTGCTAATACTGAAGAATTAGTTTTTCTTTTGAATTCCCTATTTGGGATGAGTCATTATGGGACATGCAAATAAAATAAAGAGTGAACTCTCTTGTGCTCTCTGTTTCTTGTTACGGGATTTCTTTACATCGTTCATGATAATGGTAAAGAAAACCCAAATCTCTTTTGCTCTTATCCAACTTGTTGATGTCCAGACTGCCACAGTAGGATAGCTGCTCTCTTTTCAGAATAATTTTCTTGCAGAAGTGATTTAGGGTTTAGGGGCATTAAAATCTTACGGCTAAGCTGGTACCAAAAAAAGAAAGAAAAAGCTTATGGTTAGCAATATAGTTGTGGGGACCTGGGGCAGGGCTCAGGGAGACACCCTCCTGGCTGCTGGGGAAGGAAGGAAGAGATGGAAGGAGCAGCTGAAGTTAGGGAATCCTACAGAAGGCATGCTGGGAATCCCCCAGGGTATCTGGGATTGGAAAGAGACAGCGAGCCTCAAACACCAAGAAATATTTCTGTGACACGCGATCCACAAGCCTGTGGTCATTACATTTGCCTACATGTGTCTGCCAGCCTGCCAGCCCGTTGTGGCTGGGCTCATTGTGCTACCAGGTTCATCTCTCACCTTCCGAACATGGCTTTTTACAGGGTGAATCTATAATTTTTGAAACATAAGCAGAAAGCAGCAGGACAACTTTGGGTACCAGCAGTATTATTTTGCTAAAAATTTGGAGTTGCACAAATAGTTCTTTTGAACATAAAACTAAATGGATTTATACGTAAGAATTACATTCAGCATTTATAAGAGGCAGTACAAAAATGGGTTCTGCATCTACATGATATAAATTGCATATAATACCATGATTTAAACAATATTAATTATATTAACTAGTGCTGTGAGATACATCTTACTCAGAATGTCTGATGTTTCCCACAATAGGAAAAAATGCAGTTATATGAGCAGTTGAGTTGCTTTTCATTTCCAAATTCATTTTACTGATGAT